GTAGTGTACCTTTCAAAACTACTAGAATAGCGAAACAGCCTGATTGACTTTCTTTCCAAATGAAATTTTTAGATAGAGTATTTGACTTATTCAAGACTTGCAGTTCATGATAGGAGAATGTATGTTTTTATTTCAGATGTTTACCAAAATCAAAGTTTAAATTTTTTTATGTGCTTTGTTCTTCTTTTTAAACTCTTGTTTTCCTTTAACTGTTAAGTTTAATCCTCTAATTTTCTTTTTTTTAGGTTGTTAGTAGGTGCTGTCAAGTCAGTGACCCTGTGAACAACAGATCTGAACCTTGCCCTGCATGCACGATCCCTGCTGTCTCTGGTATGCACAAGCCCATTACTGTCACTGTGTCAGTGCGTCTTGAGGGCCTTTTTCTAACCTTCCACCTTTACCAGCTTGATGTCCCTTTCCAAGGACTAGGCCAGCCTGACAAAATGCCCAAAGTAAGTGAGATGAAGTTTCACAATTCATGTCTCTAAGGAGCACTATGGTTCCACTTCCTCAAATAAAGACATATTTGTTTATTCTTTTGATAGTGCATGATCTAGTCAATACTCATCTCCAGCACAATTCAAAGGCATCAGTTTTTCTTTAGTCTTCTTTATTCATTGTCCAACTTTCAAATGCACAGGAAGCAATTGAAAAGATCATGGCTTGAATTAGGTGCATTTTGGTCTTGAAATTGCCCTTTACAACTTTGGACAGGTTCAGGTTCTTTTTTTTTTTTTTAATATTTTCTGTGTGTGTAACGTCAAATTGGATCTGAGTGGTACAGGAGGAGATGGCTCCTCCTTCTCCAGCAGAACATCTGGTGGGTTCGAACCCCATTTCTCTGAGATTGCAGTGCAGCTTCTTGCCACTAGGCCACCAGAGCTCCCCTTGGAGAGGTTCTTGATAGCAAATTTTCCCAATCTTTTGATTTCTTGACAGCTGATAGCAGGGTGTTAATTGTGAAACCAAGTAAAATTAAATAGTTGACAACTTCAGTCTTTTCTCGTCTTCTATAATGTTGCCTATTTGTCCAGTGGCGTGGATATCTGTTCTCTTGATGTTGAAATATAATCCATATTGATCTTCTGCAGCAAGTACTTTGAGTCTTCATTTTCTACAAACAAGGTTGTGTCATCTGCATAACACAAGAGGTTGAGTTTTTTGGTAGTTCTAGCTTATTCCTCCAGATTATTGCTATCATGTTTATGTATTTAAGAGGGATAACAGAAATAAAAACACTGCTCAGAAATACACAGCTCCTAAAATAGATATATAGCTTAGGCTCTAAGAATGCCTCAGACTAGCCAACTGTTGCTAGTTTATTGCATTGGTTTAAAAATCTTCAGGGCATCCATAATCTGGGTACAGAAGTGGGAGCTTAATACTACTTTATTCTAAAACATTTCCTGTTTGTAAGAATTTTCAGAATAGGGTTGATCTATGTTAATGATCCTGGGCATTGTTTTTATAAGCTATTGACTTTGCACACTCTTCTCTGCTGTCTAATTCTCTTACGATTAGACGCATGAAGAAAACTTAAGCATTGAGACATGAGGATCTGCTCTCTACTAGGGTATGTAGACCAACTTATTGCCATATTGAAACCACAAAAGGCATGAAAGATAATCAGACTTAAGTCTTCTTAAGCTGAATGCAGTCACATAGGAAGCAGGACATGGGAAGAGCTGATGGTTTTCTTTTAGTGTCTGCTTGGTTCCTCAAGCCTTGAAAGAGTCCTCTTGCAAAGAATTGGCAATAGAAGTAGAAGCCAGATCTCATGTCCCTGAGGTCTCACGTTGGTGCAGACACTACTAACATCATTTGCAGTGGTTTTCTGTAATTCTTTGTCTATGTGCCCAGCTCGTACTTAAAGCCTTGAAAAGCACCAGTGACACCACAGTGTGTGACAGCTTGGGTTCCTGACATCACAGACATTCCAGTGAGGTAGACGGATAGAAAGGGACATCAAACAATCAGCCAGAAGTCAGGAGAGATCTTGCTTAACCTTGGCCAGGAAGAATTAAAGCAGAACATTCTCCTAGAAGAAGAAACAGCAGGTAATCAAGAACCAGTTCACATAAGACTGACTTCAGGAGTTCATTGGGAGGTGTTAAAAGTCAACAAGCAGCCATCCAGAAAACAGCAATGAGTCTTTAATGACTTGCAGTAACTGAGAATGGAAAGTGAAGAACGTGGAATGTGTGGTTAACACACAGAGTGTGCTTCCTTGTCTGTCATGAGAGCAGAACTGGATTGACACCTCAGCACTATTAAACATTTTGATCCAAAATTCTACAGAAGAATCCTGCTCAAAACGGGGACATGTAAAGCAGAATTTCTAGATTCCAAACTTTTTGGAGCCAGAGGTCGAAGGAATTTCTGAAACTGTCTTGCAAAAAATAATCTTTGAATCTTAAAAAAGAACCCTGAACTCTTAAATGAAACAACTGCTTAACTAGTACATAATGTCTGTGTTGGGTACTGTGCTCCTTTAAGAGCTCTCTACATGGGATCAACTTGAAAGATTAAATTGGACTTCAGGGGGCTGTGAGTTTGTTAATAGAGGAGAAACTCCTCTGCAAAATGGTTCTTTGCACAACACAAAATATGTCACTAAAATGTACATGTGGAAACCTGAACTGGTAAAGTCTGCTGTATACATTTTAAACAAGACTGAAAATAACAAAAATCCAGGGTTCATGCAAAATTCCTTTTACAACTTCAACTACATATGTAAATCATGGGACTTGAGTCTGTCTGCAAAACATAACTTTCACAACTTACTGTGTCATTTTCACCTTAACTTGCCCAGTTCAGGCCACTAGAAGCCGTACTGCACAATTTGTGCAATTTATAGCTTCCCTTAGTGCTTCACAACCACCTACCCCCTACCCAGCAGCACAAGTAATCTTTTGTACACAAACTGGGCCACAATACT